CTCCGAGCACTCGGGACTCCCCTGCTGCCCTGCCGACGACCCCAGGGCACCCAGGCCTCTTCCCTCCCAGAAAACACACAGGGCAGGCACTGGCCTTGGTTTGCCCACAAGCACCAAAGAATTGGTTCCGGAGCCTCTGAGTGAGGAACTAGGCTCCACGTACCGACCCTGTGAGCCCTGCCTGGCCCCGCAGCCCCGGGAGAGACCCCAGAGCAGGAGGGGGAGACTCACCAGCGCTCCATGGTGGAGCCCTTCTTCCTCTTCCCCCGGGGATACTCCAGCAGGCAGACAAACACGCCCGCCACGCTGAAGCCATGTGGTTAAGGAACAGCCCAGCTCAGCCTGGGGGGCCACAGGGAACCCTCTTTACTGAAGACAACACAGAGAGGGGCCCGAGCACAGTGGCTCACGTCTGGAATCCCAGCACTTTGGGAGGCTGAGGCAGGAGGATCACTGGAGCCCCCAGGAGTTTGAGACCAGCCAGGGCAACACAGTGACACCCTCATCTCTACAAAAAATTTAAGAGTCAGCCAGGTGTGGTGGTGTGTGCGTGTGTGGTCCCAGCTACTCCAGAGGCTGAGGTAAGAGGGTGGCCTGAGCCCAGGTGGAGGCTGCCATGAGTCATGACTGCATCACTGCACTCCAGCCTGGGGGACAGATCGAGACCTTGTCTCAAAAAAAAAAAAAAAAAAAAAAAAGGGGGCAGCCACTGCCTGAGGTCACAGAGCCAGGAGGCAGCCACGGGAGGTTCCAATAGGTCAGGCACTCGGGGTTGCCCACGCCCGCCCTCCCACCACCCTGCCCAATGCTGCTTGTCGCAAGGTACGGCTGGGCTGAGATGGGGCAAAGGAGGTGGAGGGGCCGGGCAAAGGGGGCTGACTGACAGGAGGGGGCAGACAGGATCCCAGCAGTCCAACCGGGGGGCCTCAGTGCTGGCCCTGGCCCTCTGGTGACACCCCCTGCCCACCCCTCACCAGGACTCAGACTGGGGGTCTGCCGCGGACCACCACATGGCCCAGGCGAGGAGCCTGGCTGCTGGGGCCTAGGCTGCCCAACCCGTGGACAGCCCACCCTGTGTCCCAGCCTGGCTGCGGTGGCGGGGAGCGGAGGCGAACAGCTCACTGTGAAGTGGTTCCCTGGCTCTGCCCTGGGCGTTCCCCACCCGCCCCAGCCTCAGGTGGAAGGATACATGGAGTAGGCGCCAAAGTACCACTGGGTGAAGCGGCCAGCTGTGGCCACGATGCCCCCGGTGATGAGGACTGTGGGGAGAAGTGGGTCAGGTACTGTGGGACTCCCGTCCTGGGGGCCTGGGCCACTCCCCTTCTCTACCTCCTGTGGGCCATCAGGTCACCCAGAGCTTCCCCATCCCCATCCCCATCCCCATCCCCATCCCCATAGCACAGTGACAGGGTCAGGGACACCCCCAGGAGGCACCCTCTGCGCTGCTGAAGAGCAGAGCCTATGGCGCACGGGCTGGCGGAGGGGGTGCTGGACATGCCCAGGCTCTAGGTCCCAGGAGCAGCCAGGGACGGCCCGACCTGCAGGCCCCAGTGGGCCTGTGCCCCTGGGCTCTGAGACCCCCGATGGACCCCTTGTCACCATGAGTCTTTGATGCACTGAAAGCCAATAGGCCGAGTGTGGTTTCTGCATCTTGGGGGTGTCTCCTTCCTCCTGATACGGAGTTCCTCTTAACCCGTCAGCTATTTCGCCTTAATTTTGGTTTCGTCTGATGTAGCTATTTCTGCACCTTTTTTTTTCGGGGGGGGGTATTGTCCAATATTCCCCCTTACTATTTTTTTTTTTTCTTGTTTTTGAGATGGAGTCTCGCTCTGTCACCCAGGCTGGAGTGCAGTGGCGCAATCTTGACTCACTGCAACCCCTGCCTCCCGGATTCAAGCAATTCTCTTGCCTCATTCTCCGGAGTAGCTGGGATTACTGGCGCTCGCCACCACACCCAGCTGATTTTTATATTTTTATTAGAGACGGAGTTTCACCACATTGGCCAGGCTGGTCTCGAACTCCTGACCTCAGGGAACGCACCCGCCTTGGCCTCCCAAAGTATTAGGATTGCAGGCGTGAGCCACGGTGCCTGGTCCTTACTACTATTTTATTTATTTTTCTTTCTTTTTTTTTTGGAGATGAAGTCTTGCCCTGTTGCCCAGGCTAGAATTCCGTGGTGGGATCTCGGCTCACTACAAACTCCGCCTCCCGAGTTCAAGCGATTCTCCTGCCTCAGCCTCCCAAGTAGCTGGGACTACAAGTGCACGCCACCATACGTGGCTAATTTTTTTTATGTTTAGTAGAGACGGGGTTTCACCATGTTAACCAGGATGGTCTCGATCTCCTGACCTCGTGATCTGCCCGCCTCGGCCTCTCAAAGTGCTGGGATTACAGGCATAAGCCACCTTGCCCTGCCAGCCATTCTGTTTTTGTCTCCACATGGTATTGTTTGAAGATTTCCTATCCTTGGTTTGAGCCCAGCTACACATTAACTCTCTGGGTTTGCCTGTCTGTGTTGGAGGAGGGGAGGGCAGTGTCCTTGGGTCTACCTCAGCCTATTGTCCGTGCATCTTTGGGGGACCGTCCTGGTCCCAAGCCTGCCATCTGAAAGAGGCTGCAAAGCTGCCGCTGGTGCCACCAGGGAGGGCTGAGGACGTACTCTGGCACCCAGCCACAGTTACAGAGCACCTGCTGTGTACGGGGGGGGGGGCTCTTTGTCAAGGCCCCACTCTCTCTGGGTCAGCTGCCTCCCGGGGGCTGCACGCTCTGGGAAGACCTCCCCGAGCAGGTGACATTTGAATTGAGAAAGGAGACAGCCATGAGGCGCTGCAGAAGCAGCTTGTGCAGAGGCCCTGGGGCAAGCTCAGGAGATCTAGGAACAGAAAGGAAGACCGGCAGCTGGAGGAGGGGGCCAGAGAGCTGGGAGGCCAGGGCAGGCAGCGCAGGGCGTCCAGTCCCGCTCTAATTATTTGGGCCAGGAGCCCCTGGAGGGTTTCAGCAGGAGGCCAGACTAGAGCCCAGCTCTCCTGGCTCCCAGCTGGGTGCCCTCAGACCCTCTATTTCCTGTAGGGAGTGCAGGGCAGGCAGGGTGACAGTCTCAAGGGGCGGCTCTGGGGAGAGCTGTCTGAACTGACCTACCGAGTTCTTGGCCGCTGACTCGAAGCAGGCGGTGGGACAGGCTGCAGGGCCCCATGCTCCAGGCCTCCCACCCTGAGGTCTCTGCCGCGCACTCCAGACAACCAGTAGGGCGCTCAGAGCCCCAGGGCAGTGGTGGCAGCGGGCCCCTCCTCCTCACCCTCAGCCTCCAGGCCCTTCCCAGGCACTCCTCCCCACCGGGTGCAGGTCCTTCCTGGAGCTGCCGCACTGGTGCCTCTGCCCTCAGACCCTGCCTGAACCCAGCCTCACCCGGCCTGGGCCCGACACTCCCCGGCTCTGGTCCTGACAGGGTCCATTTCCAAATGGAGTCTGCTGCCCTCACCAGAACCTCTGAGCAAATGCGCAGCAGGGTGACTGGGGTCTGTGCCATCCCACCCCAAGAGCAAAGCGCCTGAGCAGCTGGGCTGGGCAGGGCCGTCACTGGGTGATTTCAGCGCCTCGTGTAATCCCAGGCCGCCTCCAGCGCAGACTCCAGATGGGGAGGGCTGAGCCCCGGGGCATGAAGAGCCCACTCCCCACCCCAAGCCCAGGGAGGGCGACTCGCAGCCCAGCTGGCTACCGAGGGACAGGGGAGCTTCTCCCGACGCCCAGGCCAGAGCCCCCATTTGGGGGCTTGGGGCGGCGACCCCGGAAACCACCAGGGCTGAACCGCCTCTTCCCCTGCGCTGCAACTTCCTCCTCCGCGGAGTCGGGGGACCGAGGGAGGGAATGGGGGAGGGGCGCCGCGCTCCGCAGGGTCTGCAAGGGGCTGCTGGGGTTCTCAGAACTCCTTCCAGCCCGCGCCCTGAGGGTCCCGCCCCTGTTCCCCGCACCCTCCTGGCCTGACCCTGGCCCGCCTGGCGCCCCACTTCCCCGCCCTGTAAGTAGCCCGAGGTCCCGGCTGGGGTCTTGGGATACCCCTCCAGGCTGCAGCCTCCACCGTCCCTGCCGCGCACTCACTCAGGCCGGACGCCAGCGCCTGCTCGTTGGCCCACATGGCCCACTCGATCTGCCCCATGGCTGCACGGACCCTGCCGGGACACTGGTAGGCGCGTACTGCCGCCCCTGCGCTCCCGGCCGAATCCCGTTCCGCCCAGGCCCTGCCCCCAAACCCCCAGGTGACCGCGGCTGGGCGGAGACCTGCGTCTGTAGGGTGCAGGGCTGCCCCGGAGCCTTCTGTCCCCGCCCTCTCTACCCCGCCGAGGCATAGGAGGGGCCCTGCTCGGCAGCCGCAGCCCAGGCGGGGAGCGCGCTTCCCCAGGGCTTCCCAGCTTCAGCTCTCAAGCACTGACAAATTCCCCTGCCCGACGCCCGGGACCCAAGGGTCCCGTGTCAACAAGGCTTCTATTAATAGCAGAGGGGTCACCCCTACAGCCCGGGAACACCTCTGCACCCTGATGCTACCAAGGACGAGGGTGGCCTCCCCATGGGGACCAAAGGCCCAGCCCCCATTTCCTCCCCCGGCTCCGGGCTGGCACAGGCGTGGCCTGGGTCAGACACTGCGGGGGGCCTCCCCACACCATGCCACTGGACTGTGACTGATACTCGAGGGAGGGGACAGGATGTGCACAACTGGGAAAGCACAGAATGCAGGGACGGCCCCATCATTTCTGGCCTGGAGACAGGAAGCAGGGGTTGGCGTGGGGGTGGTGAGCCCAGCGCCCATGGGAAGACTTTAGACTGGGGGCTGCTCTGAGGGTCCCACCTGAGCCAATGTGGGGTGTGAGGGGAGCCCCTCTGGCTCTGTCTAGCCTGCCCCTCTCCTAGGCCCTCATGGGGCACACCGGGACTCCCTGGCAGGTCCCAGGGTCACTCAGAGCAGGAACTCCGGAATGCTGGTTTATGAAACAGAAAAACAGCGGAAGGCAGGAGGCAGCAATGCTGGTTTATTCCCCCACGGCCACCAGGGCCACACTGGTGCCCACTCCTACCACCATTCCAGCCACACCTAGGCCTGGGGCAGGGTCTCAGCAGAAGTGCTGTGGGCAGCCACCATCTAAGGCACTTGGTGGTTTCCTGAGGCCCGAGGAGGCTGCTCCCAGCACAGTGACCCCTTCCCTAGTCCGATGGAGGGACACCACCTCCCCACTGAGCTCCCGTCTCAGAGAACTGGGAGCAGCTGGAGCTGGGGTGAGAGAGCCCTTCAGCCCTGCTGCACCGAGGCTCTGCCAGCTCTCATACCCACCCCATCCCATCTTGGCAAAGCCCTGGGGCAGCTGAAGCACTCGGCAGGGAGCTCTCCTGACACCTGGGCAGCTGCAGGGCTCCCTGCACGGCCCCACAGCAAGCTGTCCATGGGCCCTGGGACAAGCCACCACCCACATGTCCCAGTAGTCCGGAGCCCACCACACCCGCTCCCTAGCTCTGGCGAGGCCACCCCTTCTCCACGTGGCGTGCGGTCCTGCTGAGGCGGTCAGGCAGCTGGCTTCGGCAGGCCGTCAGGACCCAGGAGGTGGGCGCTGGGGTCGTCCAGGATTTGGGGTCCTGGCCCCACCTGGGGGTAGAGATCCATGTCAGGTCACCAGGAATGGCAGCACCTCATCCTGTGCCCAGCATCTGTAGGGGGCCGGACACAGGAGGGGAGCGGTGTGCCCCCGCCCTTCTGGTGGGTCCTGGTCAGAAGCTAAACCACCCACACGCAGCTCCCTCAGGCACAGCCGCCCCGCCAGCTGCCAGCCCCCGCCCAGGGCACTGCCTCCGTCATAGGGTGGACAGAGAACCACAGAGCCTGGAAACAGGCAGCCTGTGCATGTGGCCCCTGAGAGGAAGGTGGAGGCAACAGCTCGGGCGGCCGTGATCGCTGGATGCAGGCTTGACTCTCGGGGCAGGTCGGAGAGCAGGAACCCTGGTCTGTTGGGGTGCAGGGCCCAGGGACCCCAGAAGCACCCACCCCAAGCGCTCCCTATTCAGGGGCCTGATACTCCCCACCTGTCTCCCTGGGAGCTTGTGTCAGACTCGCCCTTCCACCCCCAGCCCAGCCCTGCTGCTCTGAGTATCGCCAGTGGCCTGTAATGTCCACTTTGAGAGCAAATGAATGAACAAAGGCTTTCTGGCTTCCTGCCTGAGACACAGTAGGGATAGGGACAGGGAGCCGGGCTGAGCCTGCAAGGGCCCTGGGGGCTGGGCAGGCCCCTCTGGCAAGAAAGGAAACCCCGAGAGTACCAGCCGAGCCCCAGGCCTCACCTGAGTGGCAATGATGTACTTGACCCCACCGGGGGTCGTCGGCTCCATGGCCAGCGCAGCCTGAAGCTCAGCTGAGAGAGGGGCCGTCCTCACCTGCAGCCCCTTCAGAAACCTGGAAAAGCAGGGCAGGGGCATGGTGAACACATCCATTTCTTTTTTTTTTTGAGATGGAGTCTCGTTCTGTTGCCCAGGCTGGAGTGCAGTGGCGCGATCTCGGCTCACTGCAAGCTCCGCCTCCTGGGTTCACGCCATTCTCCTGCCTCAGCCTCCTGAGTAGCTGGGACTACAGACACCCGCCACCTCGCCCGGCTAATTTTTTTGTATTTTTAGTAGAGACGGGGTTTCACCGTGTTAGCCAGGATGGTCTAGATCTCCTGACCTCGTGATCCTCCTGCCTCAGACTCCCAAAGTGCTGGGATTACAGGCGTGAGCCACCGCGCCCAGCCAACCTCCATTTCTCTAAGCATCTAGAACAGGCAAGTCCAGAGATGGGAAATGCATTGCTGGCTGTCAGGGCTCAGGGAGTGGGAGATGGCAGGTGGCCGCTGTGGTGACAGGTTTCTTTTAGGGGTGATGAAAAAGTTAAGGAGGTGGCTCGAGGTGGTGGCTGCACAACCCTGTGAGTGTCCTCAACACGACAGGATTGTATGCTCTGGAATGGCTGAGACAGTGAATTTTAGGTTATGTGGTAAATAGCTATGCCCAGGCTGGACCCACGTCTGGCCAAGGCTGCTGCCACGCCCCATGGGGTAACAGCTTAGGGAAGTGCCCAGTTCAAGCTGGTGCGTTCGTCACTGTGTTCTGCAGAACAACGGAAGCCTGCAAGCCCCACCCGGAGCAGAAGCCACGAGCCTGGTGCTTCCCAGGAGGGCAGTCCTGGGGTGTGGGTCCGAGTCCATCCCACAGGGCAGGCCCCTGACCAGTAGAAGGTATTACTGCTCCCACCCAGGACAGATGCCCATCCCCACACGCTTCCACACACCCTTAAACAGGAGGCGCCCCTCACATTGAGAATCAGCCTCCATTAAAACAACGGGAGGGAAGAAATCAACAGCCCAGGAGCGAAAGGAGGCTGGGCCACGCTGTGCACCAAGGAGGGTGTACGTGGGGGCTCTGTGGCGCCAGGATGCAGCTGCCAGACGACCCCACCCCAGAAAAGACACCCAACTGCAGGGGCGGGGTCAACACCCAGCCGCCCTGACCGCCTCTAACTCACTTCGGTAAGAAGGCAGTCGGGGGCTTTGACTCCTTTCCTTCAAAATGTCACACACTTGTACGCGCTCCTGGGAATGCACATGTGTTTCCTCAGAAGCCACTGTTCTATAGGATAAGGGCCTGTGGGCTTCTGAGCTGCAGGGGATGCCGTCTCTCAGGAGGTGGGTGCGTCTCACACACGCCTGCACGGCCTCTCTTTTTTCCCTGTGGACGTGGGCTGTGGGATGGCTCTGTGGGAACACCCTATCCGTGGCTCCCACACTCGGGGAATTGCCACCTGCCCTGGGACTCCCCGTCTCAGTGTCACAGCCTTCAGGTGCCTCCGTCTCTTCCGACCAGGGTTCCTGGCACCGTCTCCCAAAGAGGAGGCGGGGAAGGGTCCACACTCACGCGTCTCCGTTCGAGCCCGGGGGAAAGCTGTGCCTCACGGCAGCCACAAACTCAGCCACAGTGTCGTCCAGGGTGAAGATCACGGCATTGGGGCCCGCGTCAAAGGTGTACGCCACCTGGAACCCACAGCAGTCACCCCGGCTGTTCACGTGGTGCCTGGCCCTTGTCCCCTCAACCCTCTGGTCTGCCAGGGGGCCCTGGGCTCTCTAAGAGCTCAGTCTAGGCCCTCAGGGCCACACTGGAGTGGAGCTGTGACCCCAAGTGCCTGGTACTTGACACCTCTGCCTGTGAACCCAGGAAAAAGGTGGTGGGGCTGTGACCCGAGCAAGTCAAGAAACAAAACAAAACAGAAGAACCCGGATGGTCAGTGAGCTCCGCACACAGCAGGGCCGAGCTTTCAGACACAGATCACCCTGCACGCGGCTCCCGGGACCGTCTCCACGGCAGCATAAGCCTAGACACGCGACACAGTGCGAGAGCGCAGCCTCTGCCCTCCCAGCCCGCGTCACCTTGGTGTCCCCGTGGTGGGCGTTGAAGCGGTGCACCAGGTGGATGATGCGCCAGGAGACAGCATTGAGGTACGAGATGGGCGGGAAGGTGTCGAGGCAGGTGGCGTGGAACTGGTTGCTGTCCTTCATGGTCAGCTGGGCGAAGCCGGGGAAGTCTCGCTCCCGGATGCAGCGGGTCATCTCCGCCATGCGCGCCGGCACCACAGCCTCGGCCCGGAACTGCAAGGCACGGGGTGTTTCCCATGGAGCCGCCGGGGGTCTCGACGGCAGAGGGTTCCAGGAGGGTCTCCGGGGTTGGAAGCCCGGCTCAAGCCCCATCTCTGCATGTGGCTCCTCCACCTGGTCTTGGCGGGGCTGCCGCAGGTGTGAGAACGTTTGGGCCCAGACAGAGGCTGAGGGCAGAGTCGGGCACAAGCATGACCCCCAGGGCCCCGGGGCCACCTGCTCCTGGCCTCACCCGCAGCAGGGGGCTGGTCTCCACGCTGGCCCGCATGCCCACAGTACTGCCCGTCAGCTTCTTCTCAGCGCTCACCTGCACGGGGGAGACACAGCCTGGGCCACAGCCTGCAGGAGACCAGCCCCAAGGACCTCAGCCCCAAACACTCAGCCCTCCCTCAGCCAATGCGGGCAGCGGGGGTGGGAGTCAGTGCCACCTGCCTGGCCACGGAGGCCTCCCGGCCACAGCAGGGGCGACATGGGGCAACTTCTAGATCCCAGTGGGTGGTGGCGCCCGCCACGTGGGAGCACTTCCTGAGCACTCGACCACACGTCTGTTTCTTTAGCATCCACTGACCCCAGGAGCCAAGCAAAGCCTGGATGGGGTGCCTTCACCCCTGCTCCCAGCAGCAGCCCTGACTAGGGACAGAGGCCACCCGGCTACTGCTCCACCCGCCCCACTCACCACAAGGATGAGGACGCGGAGTTCAGGCCAGTGTGACTCGGGGGCCACTTGCCGGGCGACGCTGTCCTTCCCATCAGTCTGCTCTCCCATCTGCCACTCCACAAAGCCCCCATACAGGCTCCGGCAGGCGCTGCCTGAGCCCCGGCGAGCCACTTCTGAGAGGTCACTCTCCACGCCGTAGACACGGGCCAAGGTGTAGGCTGCAGGCATGGGGATTCCGGGGAGGGTCCTCAGAGCTGCCTGGGCTGTGCTCCCTGACAGCTCACTGCCCCGGGACTGTCACACACCCCACGGCAAACGGGGATTTCCAGATGACAGGGCTTCTGGGCCATCAGCCTTCGAGGGCAGCATTCACCAACCCAGCCATCTGTCCCCGCCCTCCACTAAGAGCGCCCTCCGCTCTTGGACACTCTGTTCACAGCCTGCAGAGCTTGTGGCCTGAGACAAAGGTGACAAAAGGTACCTGCGGCAGAGCGGGAAGCCCCCTGGGGGATGTGGAGAGAGGGTCCCCTGGGGGACACCGAAGCTGAGCTTGGAGGGTGGGAAGGAATTTTAAGGTTGTGTGGGGCAGGGACTGATGCCAGGACATAGCTGGGCTCCATAAGACGTGCCCCTGCCCACCCAGCACAGGAGCCACCTTCTCCCCTCGGTCCACAGGGCTCCAGCAGGGCGACCCCACCTCCAGGTCTGGTCACCCATGGCCCTGGTCACTGAGGGTGGTTCAGGGAAGGCACTGGAGCCCAGGTGGGCCAAGAAGCATCATCCCTGGAGTTGAGGGGTGAAGATACTGTGAGGCCACCACCATGGGAACGGGCTCTGCCACTGGGTGAGAAGCCGCCAGAAAGTGGCCTGGGGCCAGCAGAGAGCTGGGTCTGGTGGGGCCTGTAACCAGCTGTGCCCATTGGAATCCTCAGTTATGTGAGCCACAAACCATCGCTATTTTAGGTCTGAGCCAGTCTGAAGTGGTTTCTATCACTGACGACCTAGAGGGGCTCCACAAGGAGCAACTGGAAGATGTTTCTATTTTATGTAGAGATGGGGGGGGTCTCACTATGTTGCCAAGGCTGGTCTTGAACTCCTGGACTAAAGTGATTCTCCCCCATAAGCCTCTAAGTACTGGGATCACAGGCGAGAGCCCCGCGCCAGCTGCAACTGGAAGATGAAAATGTTCAGATATGCTCTGGGAAGAGACTGAACAACTCCAGAGAGGCCAGGGAGGCCTGGGGTGTGGGATGCTCGTTCAGCCACGCCCGGCAGTGGGCCCCCTGACCCGGGAAGAGCGTGAAGCGGCTCCTATGCCCACAGCCCAGAACCCCTGCATGTCTCTGTGGGCACCCACCTAGGCAGGCATAGCCCGCCGCCGAGGAGGCCAGGCCTGCAGCCGTGGGGAAGTTGTTCACCGATGCCACGTGCACTTTGCAGCTGAGGCTGGAGGACAGTGGGTCCCCATCCCACGCGTTCCTCCGCTTCCGGGCCAGGCGGCGGACTGCAGAGACGATGAGACAGCGTGTGGCCCAGCCGTCAGCACCCTGCCCGCCCTGCTCCTGCCCACCTGCCCGGGTCACAGCTGAACACCAGGCCTCTGCCTGCCAGACTCCTCATGGAGAGTTTCTTCCCCAGGAAAACCCTAGACTGACCCAAGCCCAGCGGGAATTGAAGTGGGGCCACTGCCCTGGAGCTGGGGGTCCAGTGGGCATGTCTGGTTCCCAGCCACGTCGCCTGCTGCCTCAGGAGGGGCCCAGAGGCAGAAGCGCTTTCTGGATGCTCGGACCCTGCTGACAACAGGGAGGGATGGGCTTGCGGGGACCCCAACTCACTCTCCCGCAGGCAGGCCTGGAGCCGCGGCTGCCCCACGTCCTCCTCCCGGCCATTCAGCCAAATCCGGTCCTCGGTGAAGTCCTTGCTGATGACGGCTGTTGTGGTGGTTTTTAACTGAAAAGGAAACCCAGGGCCACCTCAGAGGCCAGCATTGAGGACCGATGCCAGCCAGGTATCCCCTTCTACTGAGAGAGCTTCGTGGCTGCCCACTCGAGCAAGGCCCCCCTGCTGAGGGCGGGCGGGGGGAAAAGGCCAGCCTTAGCTGGACAGTGGGGAAGCCTGTGGCGGAGGAAAGCGTGGGCCACACCTTGTGGAGCAACCAGGCCTTGTCCTGAATAAAGAGACAGGGACTCCCAAGGGAGCCCCTGGGGCACAGTGTGCACATGTGTGATGAGACCTGGGGGCACGTGTGTGCTGTGCTGAGCTCTCCTGACACTGGGAGATGGAACAGACACTGCGCGCTGCCGGGAGTCGTCGCTGAGCCATCTCATCCTAGCCTTGAGGTTAAAAAGCACCAATTTTTTTTTGGTTTCAGAGACAGGGTCTCACTGTCACCCAGGCTGGAGTGCAGTGGTGTGATCATGGTTCACTGTGGTCTCCAACTCCTGGTCTCAAGAGATCCTCCCACGTCAGCCTCCCAAAGTGCTGGGATTGCAGATGTGAGCCACTGCACCCAGCTGGTACCAACTGTTCTACAAACGTTCTGGAAATGGCACTGTGGTGTTTTGTCGTCAGTCCACACGTACCTGGTCCTGGTGCAGAGTGACACTCAGGGACGAGTTGATGGGCAGAACCAGCTCTTCATCGCGCTTGCCCCCTGTAATGAACAGCCAGGGCCAGGCCGGTGGGCTTCCCGGCCCACCCTCCCCCAGTATTCCCCACAGGTGCCCCCACCCCCCACCCACAGCCCCCACCCGCCTCGGTCCTGTCTCTCACCACACATGTGTGGCCATCCTCTTGCTAGACCCCTGCCTGCAAGAACTGCTCCCCGCCCCACTGAGCTCAGGCTCCCACCACAGAGCTGGAGGCCAGCCAGCCTCCCTCCCCACTCCATGCTCCTTCATCATCATCTGTGAGTGCCCAGGTGCAGAGCGCTCTGACCGTGGCCTGCCTCCCCTCCACCTTCCCAAACAAGAGGAGCCCAGCTCTGAGAACTCCTCAAATCTCACTGCTCATATTCCCCGGGAACATCCGGGATAAACCCCTTTCTGCCCAGCACGGCCATGGGACAGCAAGATAAATCAACCTTCCGGAAAGTCTGAAATGAAACGTTTGCCTAGGGAGCACTGCGCAGTGCTTCAGCTGAAGTCTTATTTCACGGCGTCTTTGCTAAGCACACAATCTGCTCGGTTTTGTGAGAGGGGAGGTCTCTGGGGATGGCGGACAGCTCCAGGGGTGATAAATGCGGACACCTGGGAAAGAACCACGCTCTGCAGTTCGCAAGGCTCTTTCTCACACAGCACTGAGTGGCCCTTGTAGGCGGACGCGGCTGCCCTGAGAGGCCGGCAAACCTCTGCTTTCAGGAAGGTGGGCCGGCGGACTTCTCCGTCTGTCTCCCACTGAGGACAACTAAGACCCTGGACATCACAGGTGAGATTCTCACGGGTGACAGAGGACAGCTGTGGGACAGGGCAGGAGGAGCCCCCGGGCTTGCTTTTCTGTCCTGCCTGCCCTAGACCTAGCCCTGCAGAAGCTGGAACTGCCAACCAAAGCCAGCCTTCCCTAGCAGGACCGGGAAGGACAGCCTAGCAACACAGAAACAGAGTCCCGGCCCGGCACAGTGCAGTGGCTTGCGCTGGTAATCCCAGCACTCTGGGAGGCCGGGCGTGGTGGCTCACACCTGTAATCCCAGCACTTTGGGAGGTCGAGGTGGGCGGATCACCTGAGGTCAGGAGTTTGAGACTAACCTGACCAATATGGTGAAACCCCGTCTCTACGAAAAATAGAAAAATTAGCCAGGCTGTGGTGATGCGTGCCTGTTATCCCAGCAACTCAGGAGGCTGAGGTGGGAAAATCGCTTGAACCTGGGAGGCGGAGGTTGCACTGAGTCGAGGTGGCACCACTGCACTCCAGCCTTACTTACTCCAGCCTGGTGACAGAGGCAGACCGTGTCTAAAGAAGAAACAGATTCCTCCCACACTCCAGGCTGGAACGGTGCCCCCCCTTTCCCTCCCTGAAGGAGTGGGGACTTTCACCGCCCCAGGAGTCAGTGGAGAGCACACAGGGGCCTGGACTCCCCTGACCTGCAGTCTCTTATCAGAGGCCAAGTAGACACTCAGGAATTCCTGAGGGCCTGGTGGGGATGGGGCAGCGTTGGTGGGGAGGGAACCCGGACTTCTGCCTCCTTATCATGAGCCAGCACCTCCTTCTCCACTGGCGTGCTATCAAAAACCAGCTCAAATGTAAGGTTTAAAGAAGACCAGAGTCTCTGAACATTACAAGAAAATGGACAAGTTTCCATAAAAATCACTGTCGGCCAGCCGCAGTGGCTCACACCTATGATCCCAGCACTTTGGGAGGCTGAAACCGGCGATCACTTGAGGTCAGGAGTTTGAGACCAGCCTGGCAATATGGCAAAACCCTGTCTCTACTAAAAATACAAAAATTAGCTGGGTGTGGCGGTGCACACCTATAGTCCCAGCTACTCAGGAGGCTGAGGCAGGAGAATCGGTTGAACCCGGGAAGCGGACGTTGTGGTGAGCCAAGATCGTGCCATTGCACTCCAGCCTGGGTGTCGCAGTGGGAGTCCGTCTCAAAAAAATAAATAAAAGGCCAGGTGCAGTGGCTCACGCCTGTAATCCCAGCACTTTGGGAGGTCAAGGTGGGCAGATCATGAGATCAGGAGCTTGAGACCAGCCTGGCCAACATGGTGAAACCCCGTCTTTACTAAAAATACAAAAATTAGCCGTGTGTGGTGATGCGTGCATGTAGCCCCAACTACTCAGAAGGCTAAGGCAGGAGGATTGCTTGAACCTGGGAGGCGGAGGTTACAGTGAGCCAAGATTGTGCCACTGCACTCCAGCCTGGGTGACAGAGCAAGACTCTGTCTCAAAAAAAAAAAAAAGGAGAAAACCCAGAAACAGACCCAAACAAGCCCAGCTGATTTTTTTTTTTTTTTTTTTTTTTACAAAAGTGCAAAAGCAATTCAATGGAGGAAGGGTAGCCTTTCTGTGCTAAATGGACAACCTTGGATCACAGACAAATATAACAGGCAATCCTATACAACTCGGAGAAAAGCAGAAAATCTTCAGGACGTAGGGCTACGCAAAGAGGTCTTAGACTTGACATCAAAACTGATACGCTGAACTTCTTTAAAATGAAAAACTGGCTCTTTGTTAAGAGGATGAAAAGATTAGCTAGTTTGGGAGACAGTATCTGCAAACCACGTGTCCAACAGGAGACTAATATCTAGAACACCTATTTTATTTTTTTTCAGTAGAGACGGGGTTTCACCATGTTGGCCAAGCTGGTCTCAAACTCCTGACCCCAGGTGATCCACCCACCTCAGCCTCCCCAAGTGCTGTGATTACAGGCTTGAGCCTGCGCACCCAGCCTATAATGTATAATGAACTCTCAAAACTCATAGTAAAAAAGCAAACCATCCAGTGAGTGCATGGACACAGGACATGAACAGACATTTCACTGAGAAAACCCACAGATGGCAAATAACCACAAAGAAAGACGCTCCACATCACTGGCCAACAGGGAAATGCGAATGAGGAGCACAGCACCCTGTCAGCACATCCCTACCAGGACGCGGCTAAAATGAAAAACAGCAACTCCACCAAATGCTGGTGAGGATCTGGAAAAACTGCGTCATGGTAGGGATGCAAAATGGCCCAGCTACTCTGAAAAACAATTGGACAGTTTTTTTTTTTTAAAGTATATATATACACACACATGCATATACGTATATGCATATATATATCTACCATCTGACCCAGCAACCGCACTCCTGGGCATTTATCCCAGAAGAATGAAAATGTATGTTCACACAAAAACCTGTACACATTTTATGGCAGCTTTATTGGTAAGGGAAATACAAAAAAATTAGCCAGGCATGGTGGCGGTGCCTGTAAAAAAAAAAAAAAAAAAGAAAAGAAACAAAGAAAGAAAACCTCAGATGCTCTTAACGGGGTGAGGCCTTGGCTAAGAGGGTGGTCCATGGAGTCCACGGACTGGCTCAGCAACAGAGGGGCAAAGCATTGATACGATCGGGGGCACGTCCACATTCTGTGCTAAATGAAATAAGCCAAACTCAAAAGATACTGGGTGGGCCACATACTGTGATTCCAGTTTCGGAACATTTTGAAACGACGTTACAAAAATCAGTGGTCAGCGGCGGCCAGGTAACCCCGGCGGGAGGGGAGGGGTGTGGCTATGAACGCGCAGGTGCGGACCGGCCTCCCCCGCAGGGATGTGGGCTGCAGACCCCCTGTTCCCGCTCCTTGGAGGTTACCATTGGCAGAAACGGGGCGAGGGAGGGGCACAGGGCCTCGGGCTGGGGGGCAGTGGCGCGATCTCGGCTCACCGCAGCCTCGACCTCCCGGGCTCAGGCCATCCTCCCGCCTCAGCCGCCCCGGTAGCCGGAGCCATAGACGCGCACCACCACGGCGGATTCTTACGACTCGTGGGAATCGATGATTGATGATTTCGATAAAGTTCGGTAATCGCTAATGGGCAGGCGCGGGGCGACCCTGCAGGGGCGGCAGCCGTGGCGGGGGAACAGGTGGCGCCGAGCCCGTCACGCGGAGAAGGAGCGCGCGGCCCCGCCCGACCACCGCCGCCCCCCTCCCTGAGCCTCAGTTTCCCCGTCTGTCGAGGCCCTGGGAGAGCAGGACGGAGCGCGCCGCCGAGTCAGCGCGCGACCCCCATGGACCCGGCCTCGCTCCCGGCCATCCCCGTCCCAGGCCGGCCCGCGACACTCACAGTACTTGATGACCGCGATGTTGACCGGCGCGGTACAGGTGACTGCCGCCAGCGGCTGCTCCGAGGCCATGGTCCCACCGCGCGGCGCCCCCAGCTCCACAGCCACTTACGGCCGGCGATCCCACCCCAGAGGGCTCTGCCGCCTCACGCGCTGCCACAGGATTGGCCCGTGAGAGCCCGGCAGCTCGCGCGCCGACCAATCAGCGGCGAGTCTGACGCATGTATTTCCTCTCAGCCAATGGACGGGATCGGACGATGGGCCGCTGACGTGGGTCCGCCCCACCTCCTGAGGGTGCTCGCCAGGCCTGAGGGGGTGGTGTCTGCGCAGGCGCGGTGTGCGCAGGTGCGTGGCGTCGGCGTCGGGGTTCCAGGGTCTGGGCGCTGCGAGGTGGGCGCTGTTGCCTTTGGGGGCTCCGCGACTGTCTGCTGGTGCTATGCCGGGTGTGCGGCAGCTGTGCGGGGGCCGTGAGGCGCTGTGGGGGGGCCGTGAGGCTCTGTTTGGGGCGCCGTGTGAGAGGCTCTGCGGGGTCCATCAAGGGGCCGTGGGGCGCTGTGCGCGGCGCTGTGTGGGAGGCTGTGCGGGGGCCGTGGGGCGCTGTGTAGGAGGCTGTGCGGGGGCCGTGGGGCGCTGTGCGGGGGCCGTGGGGCGCTGTGTGGGAGGCTGTGCGGGGGCCGTGGGGCGCTGTGCGCGGCGCTGTGTGGGAGGCTGTGCGGGGGCCGTGGGGCGCTGTGCGTGGCGCTGTGTGGGAAGCTCTGCGGGGGCCGTGGGGCGCTGTGTGGGAGGCTGTGCGGGGGCCGTGGGGCGCTGTGCGTGGCGCTGTGTGGGAAGCTCTGCGGGGGCCGTGGGGCGCTGTGTGGGAGGCTGTGCGGGGGCCGTGGGGCGCTGTGCGTGGCGCTGTGTGGGAGGCTATGCGGGGGCCGTGGGGCGCTGTGCGTGGCGCTGTGTGGGAGGCTATGCGGGGGCCGTGGGGCGCTGTGTGGGAGGCTGTGCGGGGGCCGTGGGGCGCTGTGCGGGGCTGAGGGGAGGGCGGGTCGCGCTGTGCCCTCCATGAAGCTCTCGTATGGCCCCGCTGGGTATGGGGGTGCACACAGGCCGGAGGTCAGGCGCTGGAAGATGTGTCCCGAGATCCACTCTGAACCCGGCAGCCAAGGGCACCCTGTCCCGCCGCCCACAGCCTTTTCCGCGGCCGTAGCCTGGGCCAGGGTCCCCCCATGGGACTCGCACGAAAGACCCCGGGGCGGGAAAGCCCGGCAGCCCAGAGCTGGATCCAGCCTGCATTGAGGTGGGCGTCTCAAGTACCCCGTCTAAGGCCCTGCAGGAGCAAAGCCTTGGACTGGGTTGTGGCGCTTGTGTGTGCATTGACTGCTCTTGTAAAACATACGTGAAACATTTAAGCGTGCGTTTCCCTGCCATTCAGTCCAGTCATGTGCCACACCCCCACTATTTCTATAATTTTCTCATCGCAAACAGAAACTCTGTCCCTTTTAAACAGTAACTTCCCATTTTCCCCTTCCCCTTTTAAAATTTTACTTTCAGTTTTTAAATAGCCCAGATTGGCCAGGCACGGGGGCTCACACCTGTAATTCCAGCACTTTGGGAGGCCGAGTTCGGCGGATCACGAGGTCAGGAGTTTGAGACCAGCCTGGCCAACATGGTGAAACCCCGTCTCTACTAAAAATACAGTAATTAGGTGGGCGTGGTGGTGCACGCCTGTAATCCCAGCTAGTGGGGAGGCTGAGGCAGGACAATTGCTTGAACCCAGGAGGTGGAAGTTGCAGTGAGCCGAGACGGTGCTACTGTACTCCAGCCAGGGTGACAGATTTCAGAAAATACAGGACTATGCAGTGTGAAATGTCCACTTTGCCTGGCCACCTAGTTCCATTACCAGAACCATCATACTTCTTTATTTCTTTATTCTTTATTTTTTTCTAGAAATAGGGTCTCACTCTGTTGCCCAGGCTGGAGGGCAGTGGTACGATCAAAGCTCCATGTAGCCTCGACCTTCTGGCTTAAGGGATCCTCCCACCTCAGCTTCCTCAGTAGTTGGGACTATGGGTACACACCACCATGCCTGGCTAATTTTTTTCTTAATTTTTTGTAGAGATGTTGGAGGGGTCTTGCTATGTGGCCAAGACTGATTTGAACTCCTGGCCTCAGGGGATCCTCCCATCTCAGTCTCCCAAAGTACTGGGATTAGGTTTGAGCCACTCCACCTGGCCTGTCAATTCTTGGTGTATTTTTTCCTTGACGTGCATAGTACAAGTACATAGCGTGTTCTCCCACCTTGCTTTTTCTACTTACGTGCGGGATCATCCCAATTTAGTAAAAAGCTTCCTTGTTTGTTGTTTAAATATACCTGGTCTGTCCCGATGGACAGTTGGGTTGTTAGTGTAAACGGTGCTTTTCCACATTGTTTGTGCACATGTATTTCTGCAGGAGAAATTCCTGGAAGTGGAATTGCTGGGCCAAGTAGGATGTGCCTGAGTACTTTTGATAGCTGTTGGCAAGTCGCCCTTTGTGGAAGTCAATCGATTACTCAGGTCTCTCTGGAAGTCTGAGAGTGCCTGCACGCCTTCACCGGCACAGTGGGTCATCTGTCAGAGTGAGACGTGGTGTCTCACTGTTTTCAATTTGCATTTCAGATGGTGGTTATTTTTAATTTCTCTTGCAATCACAGCCACTTTTCTGTTTTATGCAAAGCCACTAAATCCTGTTGAAGAGCGGGGCGCGGTGGCTCAAGCCTGTAATCCCAGCACTTTGGGAGGCCAAGACGGGCAGATCACGAGGTCAAGAGATCGAGACCATCCTGGCTAACACAGTGAAACCCCGTCTCTACTAAAAAAAATTACAAAAAACTAGCCGGGCGAGGTGGCGGGCGCCTGTAGTCCCAGCTGCTCAGGAGGCTGAGGCAGGAGAATGGCGTAAACCCGGGAGGCAGAGCTTGCAGTGAGCTGAGATCCAGCCACTGTGCTCCAGCCTGGGCCGCAACAGAGCGAGACTCCGTCTCAAAAAAAAAAAAAAAAAAATTTCCTGTTGAAGAGCTGATGTGGACTATCTGGGCCTATGGTCAGGGTGTACTCACTCAGCTACTCAGAGAGAGTGGGGCTTCCAGTCACCTCCTTCCTTCTGCCACAGCTATGATGAAAAAGAAGACACAGGCCTGGTGCTTTGGGAGGCCAAGGAGGGAAGATTGCTTAAGTCTAGTAGAAAAAAACAATTTATTTTTGTTTAGAGACAGGGTCTCACTCTGTTGTCCAGGCTGGAGTGTGGTGGCACCATCAGCTTACAGCAGCCTCAGCCTCCTGGGCTCAGGTGATCCTCCCACTTGAACCTCCCGAGTAGCTGTGATACAGGCACATGCCACTACTCCTAATTTTTGTTTTTTATTTTGTAGAGATGGAGGTCTTACTATATTGCCCAGGCTGCTCTTTTTTTTTTTTTTTTTTTTTTTTGAGACAGAGGCTTGCAGTGTCACCCAGGCTGGAGTGCAGTGGGGCAATCACAGCTCCCTCCTCCTTCTGCCTCCTGGTTTCAAGTGATTCTTGTGCCTCAGCCTCCCGAGAAGCTGGGATTACAAGTGTGCACCAGCAGACCCGGCAGATTTATGTATTTTTAGTAGAGACGGATGTTCGCCATGTTTTTCAGGCTGGTCTCAAACTCCTGGCCTCAAGTGATATGCCTGCCTTGGCCTCCCAAAGCACTGGGATTACAGGCGTGAGCCTCCACACCTGGCGGTTTTTGTTTATTTTTTTAATTATTTTTTATTTTTTGAGACGGAATCTTGCTCTGTCAGTCACCCAGGCTGGAATGCAGTGGTGCGATCTCAGCTCACTGCAACCTCTGCCTCCCGGGCTCAAGTGATTCTCCTGCCTCAGCCTCCCAGGTAGCTGGGACTACAGGTGTGTACCACCACGCCCGGCTAATTTTTTTTGTATTTTTAGTAGAGATGGGGTTTCACCGTGTTAGCCAGGATGGTCATGGTCTCGATCTCCTGACCTCATGATCCACCCGCCTCGGCCTCCCAAAGTGCCGGGATTACAGATGTGAGCCACTATGCCCGGCCTGGCCTACAAAAAATTTTTTTGAAAATTAGCTGGCCGTAGTGGTGCACACCTGTAGTCCCAGCTACTAGAGAGGCTAAAGCAGGATGATCACTTGAGCCCAGGAGTTCAAAGCTTCAGTGAGCTCTGATCACACCACTGCATTTCAGCCACAGGCATGGGTGCTCTGCTAAGTATGGTATGAGTAGGCTGTGTGTGACCCTGATTCATAAGGAGAGAGGGTCTGGGAGATGAATGAGAAGCCACACAGCTGGAGGGGAAGCCCAGCCAAGCCTGAGCATGTCCTGCCTGTCTCCAGGCCTGCAGCCCTGGGGGTTTGGCCTAGACAGGCCAGCAGAGGGGCCCCGAGCGCAGCCTGCACAGCGTCCTACTGCTGATCCCCGGGGCTTCCTGCTTCCTGGCGCTTCGTGTCCTTTCCCTGAGCCCAGGCATCTGGGACTTTAAAAAGTCAGAAAGTGACTGGAAAGGAAGGTGTGTGTCTAGCTTGCTCTATATCTGCCTTGCATTTGGGAGGTCTTCAGTGGAAACGTTTTTCTGGAAGCAGTCAGCAAATGTGAAACACCATCAAGCCAGGCAATTGGAGAGGTAAAAAGAAGTGAGGACTCGGGGAATAAGGGCATTTTAAAAATAAAAATTTAAATTAAAAAAATAGGGAAATGTTTATTCCAGAGAGGTTTACAATACGATACTTTTTTTTTTTTAACTTTTATTTTAGGTTTGGGTTACATTTGAAGGTTTGCTACATAAACAAACACATGTCACAGGGGATGGTTGTAAAGATTATTTCGTCACGCAAGTACAAAGCCCAGTAACCAATAGTTGTCTTTTCTGCTCCTCTCCCTCCCCTGCCCTCGCCCCTCAGGTGGACCCCTGTGTCTGTCGTTTCCTTGTGTTCATAAGTTCTTATCATTTAGCTCCCACTTACAAGTGAGAAGATGCAGTATTTGATTTTCTATTCCTGTGTTAGATACTTACTTTTATTTTTCATTTATTTGTTTTGAGACAGGGTCTCACTCTGTTGCCCAGACTAGAATGCAGTGGCAAGATCACGGCTCACTGCAAACTTGACCTCCTGTGCTCAAGCCAT